ACAAGAACCAATTGATATCATAAAGTGCTGTTTTCTTAAACTAAATGTGCTGGCTTGGCAGCATCTTATTACTGTTTTTCTTTTACAATTTATATTTTGGTTGGATGCAACTGGGACACTGTGTACACAATTTAATTCCATCACATGAACCACACATGATGCGAATGACAATAAAGAAACCTTGACCTTGATAAAGTACTTCTAAAAATGTTTGTCTCTGGGAGACACATAGGGAAGAATTCATAAACGGTACAAACTGCACAACGTTTCAGCACAGATTGTGCAATGCTGCCTGAAGATGTGCTCCCCTGATTATGACCTCTGACCTTTGTGTTGTCTACCAGACTCACCATGAACTGTTTTCTTTAAATTTACTCGACTTGAAGATTATCTGATGTTTTCACACAGTGACTGTCCTTGGACTCAGAGTCCGCTACAGTCTGATTAATGTTCACTCTTTCCTTCTATGCTTTTTAAGAAAGAAAACACAATTAACGAAGTCTGTTTTATTTGAGTGTGACAGGTATGAACAGGAATACTGTTGATTATTGTTTGCAGTCATTATGATGGATGCATGTGAAATATTAAAATGCGTTTTAATAAATTCTCTCTGTTCTCTGAGGGACAGCTGTGTGTAAATGTTTCTGAACCAGAATCTGTTGACTTCAGAGGGGAGTCATATTATTTCAGAGTTTGCCAAAACACGTCTGAGCTGAAGGTTCGAACAAATTTCTTTGTGTAACACTTTTCAGTTCATCTGTTTCCTCCATTCCGATGTGTTCATCTGATGTTCGTCTTCATTTATTCCTGAGCAACAAAAACAAGTTTGCTCAGTAACAACTTTTGTTAGAAGCAAAGGAGAGTTCCAGTAACTACAGAAGATAAAATGTTATTTTTCTTACTGCGAGACTCACAGTTTCAGCTTAAAGTGTAAGCTGGCTGAAGATTGCCCATCACTTGAAAGTAAACTATTTATCAAAAAGTTAAACTTTGTCTAAATTTGTGTGATTTTAAAAGCCAAAATAATTCCAGTTCAAATAATTAATTTTGCCTTAGATACAAGATAATTAATTGAGAAATTATTATTTAGATTGTTCATTATTGTTTTACTACTTTTCAAACCATCCATCCATCCAGCCATCCATTATCTTTACCCGCTTCTTCCTTTTCGGGTTGTGGGGGTCACTGGTGTCCATGTCCAGCTATCACTGTGCAAGAGATGGGGGACATCTGGACAGGTCTCCAGTCCATCACAGGGACACATAGAGACAAATGAGACAAACAACCATTCACTCTCTCACTCACACCTAGGGACAATTTAGAGTTACCAATCATCCTAACATGCATGTTTTTGGTCTGTGGGAGGAAACTGGAGTACCCAAAGAAAACCCACGCATGCACGGAGAGAACATGCAAACTCCACCCAGGAAGGCCTGAGGGCCGGGGCGAGAACCGAAACGACCTGCTCACTGAGAGGTGGCAGCTCTACCAACTGATCCACCGTGCTGCTAACACAAGAATCAGCAGAATCTAATTCAACTAACATAAAAAAAAAAAAACTACAGAAAATAAACAAAACACAAATCCTGACAGTCTTGTACTTTTGTTCAGTAAGGGTTCAAGCTAGAATCAACATTTTGGCACAGCTACTACAAGAGAAAAGTGGCTGTTTAAAACTCTTACGAGCAATTTTTTTTGTAATGTTCCAATGTCTCGAGGTTTGGTTTGTTTATAAACCTTTTGTTGCCATATACCAGCATTTTCAACAAATAATTATTATGTGTTGTTTAGTTATTGTATTGGTGTTGCTTAATGAGCAGCATTTATGAAAGTCCAAGGAGCAAAAATTTTATACTGTTGATATATGTGTTGGAAGCTTCTGTGATGAAACTTTGTCAGAGTTTAAAGGAATAATAATTGATCAGTTTTATACAGTAAATTTCTAAATAAATATGCCCTTTGGTGCACAAAAATAAAACCAGAAAAAAAAGTTAAGTTTGAAACTTTTAGCTAAATATTCATTCTTTGTTTTCAGAAAACACCCCTACCTGTAAGGAATGCTTCACCGCCACCTGCAAGCACAACTTTCAACCAACAATAATGAACTCCCAGCTGCTCACCACTGGCTACTTTGGCAACTCACTTTTTAAACCTAAAGGTATGCCTTTGTTCACCTCTGCATTTTTATTCTGAGGTTGTTTCGATTTTCCCATCTAGACTTAGAGGCTCAACAAAGAGGGTTTTTTTTGTTTGTTTTTTTCTAGGCAAATGCAGCCATGGAGGAATTATGGACAACAGTCGCCATCGGAGCGCCAGAGGTGGGATCAACAAAGACAGCAAGTCACCGACCTTCTCCCCTCACCATTATCTTCATGTGGAAGCTGCAGCCTTGGCTACTAAAGCCACCCTGTCTGTACTGAGAGACCTCAGAGACACTGTCGGCCCCATGGCCTTCCTCAAGTACGTGTCATCCAGTGTTAGAAAGCCATCAACACATCATGTTACAAAATACAAACATTAGGTACAAGACAATCCTCGCATCACAGCCGACATGAGTGTGCGTAGTGTGCATAAGACTCCCTTGAATTACAATGTTTTTCTTCCCCCCAGGGGTTTTTCCCTCTGAATTTTTAGTATGACCTGCCAGGTATTTAATCGTTCACATTTTTTACTGGATGAATTCTGACGTGTCTTCATGCAGTGAATCATACACCCAGTTCTACAAGCTTGTTTGGGTTCACAGCACTCAATCACAAGTAGATCACACTAAATTATATTTTATATAAATATTGACTGATTTTCATGACAATCTGATGTGGAGATTGAGGTTTTTGAGACCCCAAATATGACAAGGCTTGATGCCCTCTCATGGAGGATACAAAACAGAAAATTGGTTTCACTTTGATCACCCATGAATCTCATTTTTCTCCATGTAATTTGACAATTGGTTTTATTGCTTTTGCATGATAGTTCTAATTCATATGTTTTTTTTTTTTTTTTTTCATTTAGCCTTTATTTATACAGGTAGTCTCATTGAGCCACGAGAACTCATTTTCAAGAGAGACCTGTTTAGGGAGCAGATGGTGGAGGTTAAGGGCCTTGCTCATGGGCCCAGAGTGGGGCGAATGAGGGTGGGGCAAGTGTGGGTGTTTCACCTACCCCACCCACAATTTTGATGTTGTCGGGGCCGGGGCGTGAACCGGCGATCTTAGGATCACAAGCCCACCTCTCTAACCTCTGCGCCACAAATCCCCACTCCCGTTTATTGCTGTTAATTAATAATTTAGTTAATAGAGATACACAATATTAAGAACATATCATTTCCTACATTTCCTGCTGAACTTTTCATCCAACTATCTGAAGAAATAAGGAAGTTGTGTTAATTTGTTGTTTGTTGCAAGCCAATGGAAGGGTTTTTTGTGTTTTTATTTTATTTTGCTGTTGTTATTTTAAAATTAAACCAGACACAAATGGCTGGTGAACACAATGGTTCAGGAAGGCAGGATATATATATATATATATATAT